TCTGTAGATGTTCATTGAAATGAAAAATAAACAAACTAAATTAAAAAATTAAAAAAAAAAACATATGAGGAAGAGTAAAAAAAAAAATCAGGAAAGGTATATAGCAGGGATGCAGAGATTCTCACCACCTAGCAGATTGCAGCATCATAGCATCATGATAGATGAGGAGATTGAGATTGTTAACAGCTTCAGTTTGCATGGCTCTACAGTCAGCACTCTTGGTACCAGCAGCCAGTAAACCAAAACATGAATTGCCCTGGGAAAGTCAGCTGTCAGGGAGCTCTCCTGACAATGATAGTCTGGAGACTAAGGTATGTCTGATCCAGGCCATGGTCTTTGCAATTACTTGCTTTGCATCACAAAGCTGGACAATGACTAAGGATGATAGAAGAAGAATTGATGCCTTTGAGTTGTGATGCTGGAGAAGAGTATTGACTATATGATGGACTGCTGGGAGAACAAATAGGTTTGTCCTAGAGAGGGTAAAACCAGGCTGCTCTTTGGAGGCAAGAATTCTGAAAGCTTCATCTGACATACTTTGGACATGTTGCAAAGAGGGACCAGTCCTTCGAGGATGATGTCATGATTGGAGGGGTGGAGGGAAAGCACAGGAGAGGAAGATCCAGGATGAGATGGCTTGACTCGGTGACTGGGATATTGGGGGTAGGTGTGTCAGAGACAATAAAGTGCCTCAAGATAGAGCAGGGTTTAGGGCTGTTGTCTAGAGGGTCGCTGTGAATCACAGCAACTTGATGACACTTAACAACAACATACTATGCAACATATATTGTTGTGGAGATTAAATAAAAGGAACATATATAAATATGTAGTACAATTTTTTGGCACATAATGTTTCATAAAACTGTGGCTATAATTATCATCCTTTATTAATGGCAATACAGAACATACTGTGGGCAAAATATACTTAGATGCATAAGAACAATAATATTATATAATTACATAATAAATATAATATTTAACAATAGTAAAAATATAATTATATATTAATATAATTATTCAATTTAAATATATATAATAATAACAACAGTAAAAGTATGGGCATAAATAAAACACAGGTAACTGAAAAGGAATTGAAATAGTGTATCATTGGAATGAAGTCTGAGTACTTGGTTATTTTTTTTTTTAGTCTGATTTGTTTTATGTTAAGTTTACCTATAGATATTACAATGTAATAGCAAGTGTTGACATTGATGACTTGAACTATACAAAATTTAAATGTGGATTAAAACTAATAGTGTATTCAAGAAGACCAAAGATATAATTAGAAAATTCTTCTTAAAGTGCTATATGGTAGTGAATATTGATATGTGTGTATATTAAATATTATTTCTAAATGGAAAACTTATCACGCATAGTGATTCATCTCTTTAAGTGTTTCATATTCCCAAGATACTATTTTTAGGGGTCATTTGATCTTTAGTATCCCTCTTTTGCATTTATTAAGAAAATTTAACCAGAAAATGAAACTCAGTAGTATTGGAACTTACTGTCTCTTATGGTGCATAAGTATTTACTTATAATTGTAGTTGTACTCATTTAAAAAGATAATATTTTCTCTCTTA